ATTATAAATTAACTGATTTAAAAATATGGTTTCATCGCTACACAGGAATTACCATGTTTCAGAAACAGAAAACAAAAACTTCAAATTCAATTATATTAAATTAAAAGCATTAGTTCTGTTTCATCTTTAAGCAAATTTTGAAAATTCACTTGAAGATGAAACAGAACTAATGCTTTTAATTCAATATAACTGAATTTGAAGTTTTTGTTTTCTGAAACATGGTAATTCCTGTGTAGTAATGAAAACATATTTTTAAATCAGTTAATTTATTATATATATATATATATATATATATATATATATATATATATATATATATAATAAAAGGCTTAAACACTAATATTCCATAGTCATAATTTATTCCATTGGAAATGTAAATATGATCCAATTCTTCAGACCTAAAAATTCAAAAAGAAAAAACAACTCCGGAAATAAAAATAGAATTTAGAGAGAGTGTAAGTATGAGAGTGTGGGACGAATGTTAGAGGTAAAGAGAGGGGTAACAGATGAGAGAAGGTGGGAGATTAAACCTTAACAGAGAGACGTTTTAGAGAGGTGAGTGGAAGGGTTTTAAGTGAGAGCAATATGAATGTTGTCGGATGTCTAATACATTAAAGATACATTTCGTGGTGACATACACACATCATATTTATTACTAATATTAGCTATATATATATATATATATATATATATATATATAGGAGAGAGAATAATGACACCCAAAATTCCAAATTCCAAGAACTAGTTCTATAAAGTCAGGTAATCTTTAGGAACTTATTCAGCTTATTTTCTTTTCAATCTGTAAATACAAAATTTATTGCATCAATAAGAAATAAACTATTTTGATGATTTAATAGAAAACATTTATTTATTAAGATATTTCCAAATTTTTTCTCATCATATTTCTGTTCAGAAGTCTGATGTTTTTTGACTCTAGTGTTGTTTTATTGTTTCTTAGCCAAATTCAAACTGAATTGCTGCAGTCTCAAAGATCCAGTAAAAGATTTATCAAATGTATGACAAGAAGATTTGCCACATTTTTAACTTAAAGACGATTTCTTTTGTCATCACAAAAAACCCTCTTTCAGCCTCCTTTAAAGTATTAATTATATTTTTGGCTTTTATATGTTGGCTATTAAAATATGAGATTATTTTTGGATAATCCAACAACTGGTTTGCTAAGCTTTTATCATTTTAAGAATCGAGTCATGCAAACTGGTGCAAACCAGCAGGATGTCACCATTGTGTGTGTGTGTATATATATATATATATGCTCTACTTTTTGTATCGAGCACTATTTTTTAAAAATAATAACAAAAATACTAAAGAACTTTGGATTATTTACCTAACAAGTTCTTTCCTATTTTCTATATATTTTACACACACACACACACACACACACACACACACACACACACACACACACACACACACACACACACACATATATATATATATATATATATATATAATTATTTATTTAAAAATATGTTTCCAGCACACTACATAAGAGTTCTCATGTTTCAAAACAAGAGCCAAAAACTTCAATATAATTATTTGAATTAAATTGAATTAACGTACTAAGCTCTGTTCCATCTTTTTTTGGAATAACTTATTTTCTTATTTTCTTATTTTTTTTGAATAACTTATTTCTAAAATTTACACATTTTATAAGCATATTCATTTTTGAAATCGAAATTATTATGGTAACGGCTAGAGAAATTGTTTAAAGAAAAGGGGCGTAATATTTTGTATCAATATCTCAGTTACATTCACAATGTCAAGTCAGGGTAAGGTTGGGGTGTCTAAATTTAAAGCAGAAGATGACATCGTCTAGTCTGGTTAAATGTCTATGGAGATTTATTTATTTTTTATTTTATTTTTTTATTTTTTTATATGTTTTGTGTATATAAAAACTGTCGTAAGTTGCTAACATTTGTTTTTTGATGACTTCATAAAGGGTTATCTTTTTTTTGTAGGGCATTTGAACTATTTATTAGGACTATGGAGTTTAAAAATTATTTTATTGTTTGTTTGTTTTTATGCTAATTATTCAATGTGAAAACTTGATGATGTCGGCAAAAACCATACATGGTTGAGAAGCAAACAAAGAGAGGGATGTAGAGAGACAAAATAGGAGTGCAACACTTTTATGGATGCTGCACTTTTGTGTCTACTGTAAGCAATAAGCCTGCATAAGCTGTATTGAAATAATAGTGACTTTAACAGTACCAGTTGAAGGATCTTTTCAGTTACAAGTATATCTTAAACTATGGCATATATATTGGCCTATTTACTGTCTATAGAATTACAATTGACAGATGAAATAGTTTTTGATGATGTCATTGAAGAATTTGCCAAGAAAAAACAAGAAAAGTTACTTTGTAGAAAGTTGTAATTTTCATTTCAAAAAGATGGTCATAATTTTTTACACTTTATTTTCCATATATGTCATTTTTCCTTTTTAACTGTTACTGATAAAGTTTAAGTATGTTTGGTGTGTATTTAAAGCATACTAGTATATTTGACTATGTGAAAGTAATATTGGTACACAAACTAGTTTTATAACTTTAAGAGGGAGTCACTGTGCAATATGTATTTTTGTGGAGTCCATTGGGCAGCAAAAACAAGGGCTGCCCCGGGTGGCATACACTTTAGCTATGCCACTGGTACTGATCAACTTTGGTGATCATATGGGAACCAATGTTTTAACATGATATGGTCATAAGAGCATCTAGATCTGATGAGTCTATCTAAAAACATGACTTGAGTTCTTAGGTTAATATTTTGTGATAATTAATATTGTGTAAAACAAAAGCTATGATCTAAATCTGTATTTCTCAACGTTTTTAACCTTGTGCCACCCTTGAAACAGTTTTCATGACACAGGGAACCACTACATAAAACTTATACCATTATTAATATCTATCTCTTTTATATTTTATTATAATAATCAAGGATTTTAGTATAGGCAATAAGGAAATTGAAAATAGATTAGACCAGTGTTTCTCAACTGTTTAACCTTTGTGGAATCCTTGAAATATTTTTCATGTCTCAGGGAACCCCAGCGTAAAAACTATTATATACCATTATTTATATATATATATATATATATATATTTTATATTTTATTATAATAACCAAGGGTTTTAGTATAGGTGATAAGGAAATTGAAAATAGATTAGACCAATGTTTCTCAACTGTTTAACCCTTATGGAACCCTTGAAATATTTTTCATGTCACATAAAAATTATTATATAACTTTATTAATATTTATCTCTTTTATATTTTTATTGTAGTTCACATGGTAAACATAATATATAAACATTGGGCTTGTGTCCTGTATTTGAGTGAGTCACTCAATGATATATGAATCTGCCACATACAGGTACTGTCCACTAACCAGTTAAGGTGGTTTCACACTGATGTCATATAGACATCATTAAATAGATTCCCTATGATTATTATAATTTTAAATAATATAAGAGGTTGAGGCCTTTATTATAATAATCAAGGATTTTCCAACAATATGATATATATATATATATATATATATATATATATATATATATATAAAGAAATATAGTCTTAGGTGTGCTATATTTATGGGATAAAATGCTCAATATCAGAGATAGGCGTGTGTAAATATAAAGTGAACCTAAAGTGAACACTTATATGCAATCGACAGTCTGTTTCATGCTATATGCAATCATGTGGCAGACGATTGCATATAGCATGAAACAGACTGTATATTTAATATTTATATATATATATATATATATATATATATATATATATATATATATATATATATATATATATTTGCAACCTCTTCGTCACCGAGGCCTGTTGGAATAGTTGGTATGATGTTTGCTTGATAACCCTAACTGTCCGGGTTTCAATTCTCGGTAGTTGATGTGTGTGCACTGCTGATGAGTCCCAAATATAGGGTGAAACGGTCGTCCAGTGCTTTCTGCATTCTGTTGAGATTTCTTTCAGACTCAATTAATTACTTATGTATATATATATATATATATATATATTATAATTATTTTTTAAAAATATGATTCCTTTGCTACATAAGAGTTCTCATGTTTCAAAAATAAGAGCTGAAAACCTCAACTCAATTAATTTTAATAATTATATTGATGTTTTCGGCTCTCATTTTTGAAACATGAGAACTCTTATGTGAAGGAATCATATTTTTTTAAAAATAATTATAATTTAAGCTCTACTTCTGTATGGAGCACTGTTTTTTTAAAAATAAAAACAAAAATACTAAAGAACTCCAGATTATTTACCTAACATGTTCTTTTCTATTTTTCTACATATCTGCATATATATATATATATATATATATATAGTAAATCTTTGAATATAAAATTAAACAAAAATTACTTAAAAATCCATTAGACTATTTATCACAGTTTCTCATGGAATTTCTTCACCTTATAGAACCTTTGGGTTCTATAGAACTGTAGTTGAGAAACACTGCTCTAAATGACTCTTAAAAACATTTCTACAAACTTCAACATCTTTTTCAAAAACAAATAAAATTTTAAAAATGGGCAAAAATATCTGGAGTGACTGTTTTACAATGAAGCTGTTTTACTAAGATTTTAGAAACATTTTACAAAATATGTTTAGTACCCTCAGTTTTTATTTATGTTTTTATTTTTCCTATCATGACTAGGTCCCTAATTTTAATTTATCAAACATTCCAATCAATTTTTTAATCAACTTCACCCCATGCAAGGCAGTAAATCCACTAAGACACAAGGGCTTACAGGGTGTGAAAGAACTAAAAAACAGAAACATTACTAAGAAGCAAGAACAATCAAAGAGTAATCAGGATGACAGTAGATAACGATTGACGTTGCATTTAAATTTTTTAAGATTAAAAGGTACAAAAATTCAACTATTTGGAATGGAAAATGTGGCATAAAAATCCAAAAGAGCATTGGAATAGCAAAAGTTGTCTCCCAGAAACTAAGCAAAGTATTAAGAGATAGGAAAATTTTGTTTAAAAAAAGAAAAAAAAGAAAAAGAGAAGAGAGGGAGAAGAGAAAAAAAAAAAAAAAAGAAAAAGAGAAAAGAAAAGAGAGAGAAAGAGAAAAGAAAAAAGAGAGAAGAGAAAAAGAAAAGAAAAAAGGAAATAAGAGAGAAGAAAAAAGGAAAGAAAAGAGAAGAAAAGGAAGAGAAAAGAAGGAAAAGAAAGAGAGAGAAAGAAAAGAGAAAAGAAAAAAAGAGAAAGAGAAGAGAAAGGAGAAGAGAAAAGAAAATAAAAGAAAGGAAATAAGAAAGAAAAAGGAAAAAGAAAGAAGAGAGAAAGAGAAAAGAAAAAGAGAAAAGAAAGGAAAAGAAGAAAGAGTCAGAGAGGAGAGAGAAAAAGAAAAAAGAGAGAAAAAGAGAGAAAGAAAAAAAGAAAATAAGAGAGAAGAAAAAAGGAAAGAGAAAAGAAGAGAGAGAGAAGAGGAAAAAGAGAAAAATAAAAGAAAAGAAAAAAAATAAGAGAGAAGAAAAAGGAAAGAGAGAGAAAAAGAGAGAGAAGAAAGAAAAGAAAAGAATAAAAGAAGAGAGAGAAAAAAAAGGAAAGAGAAAAGAAGAGAGAAAAAGGAAAGAAGAAAGAGAGAAGAAAAGAGAAAAGAAGAGAGAGAGAGAGAAGAGAAAAAGAAAAGAAGAGAGAAAGAGACTTACAGTTATATCTAGCCAATTTAAATGTAAAATGATGAGACCTTGCAGTACTGCTCTTAAATTCATAAAGTCTACGTACCATAGAGGAATGTTTACCAGAACAATTAGCATGAAAGTATTTATACAAAAGGCGCACAAACCATCTATCTATCTATCTATCTATCTATCTATCTTTTTCACCAGTTGAGGTGCAACTAAATGCACCAGAAGAGGTTGCATCTTTGTAGTGAGTAAATTGTTTTTGTCTATATGAAAAAAAAATTATATATATATATATATATATATATATATATATATATATATATATATATATATATACATATATCTTAATGTTCACACAATAAAAGGCCCATGAGTCACTCAAGGTAGAGAGTTACTGTGTGGTGTTGTATTGATATGATAATGAAAGAAACAAAGAAAAGAAGAAAATGAAAAAAGGTGCTCAAGATGAACAGGGGGAAAATAAAAAGAAAAAAACAAGAAGTGATAATATAGAGAAGAGATGGAAAATAAGAGAATAAAAAAATAAAAAAGGAAAAAAGAAAGAGGAGGAAGGTGAAAAGAAAAATATGAACAGTGACAAGGAGGAACTTTATTAGTGTTGAAGTTAGTAGTATTATTTTTGATAACACAAAATAAATAAATATTGATTATAATAAATATATGATATAAATAAATATTATTCTTTTAATCATTTCACCCTAAGAAAGGCAATAAAGCCACTAAGACACAAGAGGTTACTGAGTGTTAGAGAATATGAGGAAAACAAAACATTATTAAAGAGAGAGAATAATAAAAGAACAGGAATTCAGTTGACAAAAGATAATGATTGACATTGCAACTAAATTTTTAATTTAGATCAAAGTTAACTGTAAAGCAAACAGCCAGAAGAGGTCCACAAGTGAGAAGTGCTATAGAAGGAACTGTTAGCATAGAACTTACAGTTAAATCTAGCCATTTCAACTCTAAAATGATGAGACTTTGCCATCAATCTAGTACTGCACGGAAATTCATGAAGTCTACATACCAAAGAAGAATTACCATGAAAATATATATAGAAAAGGCACAGGGAATCTACATTACAGCAATGGGAAAGGGACTGAAGATGACATGCCAGGTCAGGACCAAAAATATTGCCGATTCTTCTTTGTATTTTATCAAGAATCTTTAAAAATATAGCAAAAGCACCAAACCAGATGAGGCAGCAATATTCAATGCATGGATAAATAGTAGACTTATAAATATGCAAGAAAAATTGTCTAGTACAACACAGTATACCAACTTTCCTAGCAATTGATTCAGTTATGACATATTTAGTATAGGAAATAAGAAAGTTGAAAATAGGGTTGGCTATACTAGGAATAGTTTCACTCAATGCCACAAGATGCTACAAAACCAAAATATTAACATCAAAACTCAAGTCATACTTTTTAATTGTCTTGTCAGATCTAGACTCTCATGTGGATGTCACTTGACAGCATCCAACTCATTCAGAAATGTCTAAACTATCATCTACATGCAACCATTTTCTCAGATCAATGATTAAAAATGTTTTATGGTGAATAAATTTTCGAGGTCTTAAATAAGACAATCCTTTATTGAATTTTGTTGACTGACACTACGAAAAAGATGAAAGAATGTTACCAATGAACAAAAACTACATCACTTGAAGAACTTCCGACAGTCATGGCAACTAGAATGGATAGTATATTTAACTAGAAGGGAAAATAATGATATAATCAAGATGTTGACTTTCCACACAGTCTTAAACAAAAGATTAGGAAGGAAACTCCCATCAATACTAGAAAGAGTAATAACAGCATAGTGTTTTCAGAGAAAAATGTTATAATTTTCAGCTGACAGTAATGTTAATTGTTTAGTCAATGAAGGCCCAATGTTTCCTGAATGGAAATGTTTAATCTCACTACTATAATTACTGGAATAAACTTCTATGTTTTCTTTTAGGCCTAGTCAAGTAATAATCTCCCAATGTCACCTTGTATTCTAATGTTTTTTTCTTTTTTAGAAAGTTAGCATTTAAGAATACTGAAAGTGTTATGAATACTGTAGGTAGGTAGGTAGATATTAAGTAGCATATCAGCATATAGATAAGGAAGAAGGTAAGTAGACAATTTGGAAGGATGCAGTGATTTACACACACGCACAAATGTGTTCTGGCTCTGCACTCATTTTTGCCAAACATGCAGAGTGCTGATTTATCTCCAAGCAAGCGTCATCTTCCCAGTTGGTATTTATTTTTGGTATTTGCCTAGAAATTCCTGGGAAAGATCGTCTTGCTTACCTTGCCTGACTTTCTGAAATAGAAAACTTCTTTAAATCAAAACACTTGGAAGGTTATTTATTTTTTTCTATGAAAATAGACTGTCATTCTCTCTCTCTTTCTCTCTCTCACACACACTATGACTCAATCTCTCTCTCTCACACACACACACACACACACACACACACACACACACACACACACACACACTAGTTCTCTCTCTCTCTCTCTCTCACCTACAAGCTTTTTCTTTCTCTCTCACCTAAAGGCTTGTTCTCTCTCTCTCCCCAATACACACACACTGCTCTCCCACTCTCTCTTGCACATTCTCTTACACTCTATTGCTCTCTCTCTCTCTCTCTCTCACACACACACACACACACACACACACACACACACACTAGTTCTCTCTCTCACCTACAAGCTTGTTCTTTCTCTCTCACCTAAATGGTTGTTCTCTCTCTCTCCCCAATGCACACACACTGCTCTCCCACTCTCTCTTGCACATTCTCTTACTATTGCTCTCTCTCTCTCTCTCTCACCTACAGATCTGTTCTCTCTCTCTCTCTTTCCGCAATGCATACACACTGGCTCTCTCTCACTCTCTATTTTGCACTCTCTTAAAAACTATGGCTCTCTCTCTCTTTCACCCACACACACACTCTCTCTCTCCAGTGCACACACACACACTGGCTCTCACTCTGTTTTACACACTATGGCTCTCTCTCTCACCCACACACTGGCTATCTCTCTCTCTCTCACTCATGTACATACACTAACTCTCTCTCACTCTTGCATACCTTCTTACACACTATGGCTTTATCTCACTCTCACACACACACTGGTTCTCTCTCTTTCTCTCTCATGCACACACACTATCTCTCTGTCTCCCACTCCCATCTTGCACACCTTAGACACTATGGCTCTTTCTCACACATACACACTGGCTATCTCTTTCACACACACATTGGCTTTCTCACCCTCTCTCATATTGACATGCCCTGACTCACTCTCTCAACTGCACACACACAATAGCTCTTTCACTTCCTCACATGCACACATCCACTGACACACTCTCTCTGATACATACACGTTCTCTCTCCTTCTCTCACTCACACACACACACACTGGCTCTCTCTCTCTCTTATGCACACATAATGGCTCTTTTTCATTTACTTACACACAATGGCTTTCTCTCATACACACACAGTCATTCTCTTATGCATACACACACTAGCTCTCTCTCTCTCTCTCACACACACACACACACATACTGGCTCTCTCTTTCTTACACTTTGACTCTGTCTCACATTCACATACACACTGGCTCTCCCTTTCTCTCTTTCTCTCTCTCTCTCACACACACACACACACTCACGCACACACACATGCTTGTTCTCTCTCTCTTTCTCTCTCTCTCTCATTTGTACACATGCAAGCATAAAAATGTACACACTTACAATGGCTCTCTCTTTCTCACATGAACACACTTTAGCACTCTCTCTTACACACGCAAACATACACACACATAGTTCTCTCTCTCTTTCATACACTTTTACTCTCTCACACATGCTTGCACACTATTTTTCCCACAAGTCTACACTCTCCATCTCTCTTATGCATGCTTTCACTCTCTCTTATATGCTTTCACTCTCTCTTACATGCTTGCACTTTAATCCCCTCTCTCTCTCTCTCTCTCTCTCTCAAACCTTTATTCTCTTATTTATCTTTCTTTCCCTCTCAAATTCTTGCACTTTCTCATTATCCCATTCTCACATGCACACATCTCTCTTTCTAACACTTTGGCTCTCTCACACAGTTGTAGTCTCTCTCACATATGCCTGCACTCTCCATCTCTCTCTCTCTCTCTTATATTCCTGCACTCTAATTGTCTTTCTCTCTCTCAAGCCTTCATTATCTCTCTCTCTTTTTCTATCAAATTCTTGCATTCTCTCCTTCTCTAACTCTCTCATTATATCTCTCTCTCTCACACACACACATAGAGAAGTGAGAGGAAGGCTGACATTTCACCTTTCAAAAGCATCAATATCAGATAATGACTTTTTTTTATTAATTTTTGTCCATTTGTTCTATTTTGCACTTTGGCCATTAAACATCATTAATTTTATCCATTTGTTCTGTTCTGCACATTGGTCATTAAACGCAATTAAAAAATTACCATTAATTTTTGGCAATTGTTCTTCATTTTTGGCCATTAAACATCATTAATTTTTGCTCATTTGTTCTGTTCTGAACATTGACCATTAAACACCATTAAAAAAATTGCCATACAGACAACATAGAATAATACTTCTCTTATTCATATGCTGGAAGCCAAATTTGTAGACAATTCCTTTGCATACAAATCGAATCTGTAGTGATTCTGGTATTCCATATGTCCATCCAATATTTCCAATAACCTATTTCTTATCTCAAACCAAATAATACTAAGATGTAACTTAAAGCAACAAAAAAATAAGCTGAGGAGAGCCATGACCACTAGCATCCTGAAAGGACAGATTGATTGTTTTTTTTATTCATACTATTTTTATTTGGACTATTGTTTTCATCTTTGTTGTTGCTATCACAATTCAGCCTCATAACCTAACATGTAAACTGATTCTTTCAGCCTCATAACCTAGAATGCGAACTGATTCTTTCAGCCTCATAACCCAACATGTGAACTGATTCTTTCAGCCTCATAACCCAATATGTGAACTGATTCTTTCAGCCTCATAACCTAGCATGTGAACTGATTCTTTCAGCCTCATAACCTAGCATGTGAACTGATTCTTTCAGCCTCATAACCTAGCATGTGAACTGATTCTTTCAGCCTCATAACCTAGCATGTGAACTGATTCTTTCAGCCTCATAACCTAGCATGTGAACTGATTCTTTCAG